ACCTGGGATGTTACATTAATCATTAAAACATTGCCCTAAAACATAGATCTGATTTCCTTGAGCTGGATAATCACGTAAAGTTACTAACTTTACGTTCATGCATGGCTAAATGAAGCTCTTAAAGCTCAAAAGGACTTAATAGATGACTTATTGCATGCATGAGACAAAAAACCCCCCATAAAGTTTGCACCTTTATGTCTAAGAAACTCCTAATGAGCTCAGATCTAAAAGAATAAGCCATTCAAATACCCTAACTCATCAAACCAACCCAAAAATGGGAGCAAAAGCATAAAAACTAAGACATGAAGATATCTAAGCATGAAGAAGACAAGGTTTGGACTTGATTCCTTTAAAAACTTGCAAAATCAGTGATGATGATATATGGTCCATTAGCATGGCCCAGACTGCTTTAGCGCGCCAGCCTGGCCTGGCGCGCTCCTGCCAACCTTGTCAGGGACTCCCTTGCCAGCCTCGCTGGGGACTCTCCTGTTGGTTTATACGACTTACCCCAGTCCGATGTCATTGGCCACGTACCAATAACACCAGACTGGGGGGATTTGATGAGATATGGTCCACTAGCATGGCCTAGACAGCTCCGGCGCGCCAGCCTCGCCTGGCGCTCCCTTGCCAGCCTTACTGGGGACTCTCCCGCCGGCCCGGCGTGACGTTCCCTTGCTAGCCCTTGTTGGGAATTCCCTTGCCAGCCCTGCTGGGGACTCTCCTGCCGGCTCGGCCAGGCGCTCCCTCGCCTGGCACTCCCTTGCCATCCTCTCCTGGTGCGTGCCCGCCAGCCCTGCCTGGGGCGCGCCCGCCAGTCCCGCCCAGCGCCTCCGGGCGGCCTTGCCCAGCTCCTTGCTAGCTGGGCCTGAATTGGGCAGGCCCAAGGACTGACCTAATTGTTCCCTATATAATGAATAGTATCCTTTCCATGAAGGGGGATCTTTCCCTAGATCTTTCCCTAGAACTTTCCCTAGGCTCTTCCCCCATGGCTCAGCCGCCACTATACTCCGGCCGGGTGGCCCAGCCGCCACCCGCCGCCGTCAGCCACCATACACCACCACTAGCACCAAGATGGTTCTCCATAGCTGGAGGGGACTTGCGAAGTGTGCACCGCTGACCAGTCACTTAAAGTTCCCATCTAGCAGGCATAGAAATATAACTCCCCACCCGGTGTTGGCTACGGGTCTCGTCCCTCTCGCCGGGGTGCGCGCGTGACGCTTAGAGCGTCTATTTCTATGAACAACTTTCAGCTGTGACTGGAACGTGGGAATCATAGACCAAGTACGTTGTATCTATTTACAGACTCCGGAGCTCGGCAACGGTCTTAGGGACTGTATGGCGAGGTTACGCCTCCTAGCTACCCCGGCCCGACATTCCATCGACATCAGTGTCGTGTAACACTCTTTAGCAGCCTCGGTCCGCATCGCACTGATCGGCTCACACTCCTCTTAATGAAGGAGTATCAAGTTAGCTCAAGCAGTGTTTGGCTCGTCGCACAACCCCACGGCTCTCGTGGGCGAGGTTCGGTCATTCCTCTTTATTATTTATTGTATTGGTGCTTTATCTAGTCCGATCCGATTGTCGGCAAACCAATCGCATCAGACTAGGGGGACTTGACGGCGCACAGTTTATATGACTAGTTCCAGTCCGATGTCATTGGCCGCGTACCAATAACACCAGACTGGGGGGACTTGATGATATATGGTCCATTAGCATGGCCCAGACTGCTTTAGCGCGCCAGCCTGGCCTGGCGCGCTCCTGCCAACCTTGTCAGGGACTCCCTTGCCAGCCTCGCTGGGGACTCTCCTGTTGGTTTATACGACTTACCCCAGTCCGATGTCATTGGCCACGTACCAATAACACCAGACTGGGGGGATTTGATGAGATATGGTCCACTAGCATGGCCTAGACAGCTCCGGCGCGCCAGCCTCGCCTGGCGCTCCCTTGCCAGCTTTGTTGGGGACTCTCCCGCCGGCCCGGCCTGCCGTTCCCTTGCTAGCCCTTGCTGGGAATTCCCTTGCCAACCCTGCTGGGGACTCTCCTGCCGGCTCGGCCAGGCGCTCCCTCGCCTGGCACTCCCTTGCCATCCTCTCCTGGTGCGCGCCCGCCAGCCCCGCTCGGCGCCTCCGGGCGGCCTTGCCCAGCTCCTTGCTAGCTGGGCCTGAATTGGGCAGGCCCAAGGCCTGACCTAATTGTTACCTATATAATGAATAGTATCCCTTCCATGAAGGGGGATCTTTCCCTAGATCTTTCCCTAGACCTTTCCCTAGGCTCTTCCCCTATGGCTCAGCTGCCACTATACTCCGGCCGGGTGGCCCAGCCGCCACCCGCCGCCGTCAGCCACCATACACCACCACTAGCACCAAGATGGTTCCCTCCAGCTATGGAGAACCATCTCAGATCTTCTAGCTGATCTAACTTGACCGTCGGAGTTCGCTCCCGGGGCACAGTCCCTGGTACGGCTCTAACGCGTCTCTCTAATTGTGACTAGCAGATCTCCGCCGGAGCAGAAGACCAGAAGCCTTGCCGGAGGTCGATGTCGCATCAAGTGATGATTCTAGATCTCTAAACTTCCCACCAAGCAAAGCACCTTCACCCTTCTTCAAATCCTTCAAGATGAGCAAAATAAGCACCAACTTCTTCTCCAAAGCTCAAAGACACATTAATGGAGGCTTAAGGTCGATTTTAGGGTTTAGGAGATATGGGGGCTGGTAAAGAGGCCAGTCCTAGGGACTTAAGTTCTTTATATAGGGTGCAACACCCTAAAATTAGGGTTTTCAAGTCTGACCATTATGCCCTGCGTAATCCTCGTATGCCCAGCGTACGAGGCCTCACACCCACGATCCAACTCCACCTTAGTACGCTAAGCGTACTACTTCATGGGCCAATATGAAATAAATAAATGCAAAAGGGGCAAAAAGGAGCATACCAAAAAATCCAGTGTTATAGAAGCGCTCCAAAAGGTCTTTGGAAATTTGAGTTTGGATCATAGTGAAAAATGCGAATTCTAGTGGATGATTATGGTAAAATTGGCAAATTTTGTCAGTTTTAGAAACCATCAATCATGCCATTAATTTCGGAATTACTTGACTAATTCGAAAGACGACAACCCTAATTGCAACCCTAATTGTCATGTACAATACAACTGTTCTCTTTGATCCGTGAGACACTTTCCCCAACTCTCTTTCTTCTTTGACAAACTCAAAATTCTTCTAGCAATTTAGCTTGCGTTTCTGCGCCTAGATTCGTAAGTGTCTCTTTAGATTATCATAAACTGAATTTCTTGTAAACCGAACATAAGGTATAAATAACTGTTCGGAAAGCGAACCAACACGATCCTTAGGAAGCCGGATTTCCACCCTAAACCTTTCTATACACTAACAATTTCAACCAAATAGACGACACACCAGTGTCCTACACAAGATCTTGCAAAGTGCCATTATATAAATGTAACCGAATTTGTGAGTATGTTTTTAGATTATTTGTTAGCTTTTCTTGATCAGACCATGAAGCAGGCATCTTGTCAAAACCCAACAAAGTTTGGTATGTAAATAAATTTCAATCAAAATACCTTTCATCTTTACTTGCCATAAAAAACCTTTTATTTCTATGTAACAATAGAATGTCAAACCTCGTAGTTGTCATACTAGTGAAGAAACCTTAATTTGAGATTTCAATCACATCAAGAAATCATAGTAATGCTCTGATACCACTAATAATAACTAATGATCAAATAACTATAAACACATGCCAATTAATAAAGTATATCAATATTGATAAGCTAGGTAAAGTGTAATGTCCCAAATAAACCAAATTCATCTAAATAACACCTCCAACCAAAGGATATCATTAATATATAAAGAAAATCAATAATAATATGTAAATCAATAAAGATTAGAGACATATACAACGAGATTTACGTGAAAAATCCAACCAAAGGCGGAGGAAACATCCAAGAGATCCAATAGTGATGATAATATTTATATTGCAAAGAAATAGGAGAAATACAAGTATTTGCGGCTAATGTTTGGGGTAATTTGAGAGGAAAAACAAGTAAAGACGAACTAGAGTTTTTATGTGTAAAAGCTCTCAGCTCTCTCTATTTTATAAGAACCAAATAAGGCGTTAAAACCCATATCGAATCTGTGAGTGCTGCCCATAAAACCTCCAAGTTGTTTCGTCTTGGTCTCATAAGAATAACCATCAACTCAAAACGTTGCCCTTGAAGGCTCCAAGCTAATTCGTCTAGAAAAAGACAGAATTTGACACAACCACTTGGACCACCATTTCTGAGATTAAGGTCAATTTTCAACAATACAAATTAAAGCAAATTTGATAGTTTCATATAATATAAAACATATCACACAAAATATACCATATCATCGAGTTGGAAGTAAATTTGCAATGTGCTGGAGTATTTGGTACTACCGTTTTGTGTTTGGAGTAGAATAAAATATATTTTGTGGGTTATATAAAGATGGAAAAGATAAAATTTAATCTTACCTGTTTCTTCTAAAAATATAATAATAATGAAATAAAAGAAAAATAAAAGAAAAAGCTGAAAGGCATTTAGATTGTGTCAGAAGCAAAGGCACGTTCTTTGCCCATATACTTATTTTCCCTTGCAACTGTTGCAACAACGCGACCAATTGAAATGATTTTTTATTTAAGTTTTTTTTTTTTTTTTTAATGAAGATGGGAATATTATTTATATATTTTTATAAAAATGAGAGACCTATTTTCTAAATTAGTTCTACATTTTGGGTTGGTGTGAATTGAATTCAACGTCAAACACATTATAACTTATTTACTTTTTTTTTTCTCTTCCATTTTGTTCAACTTAGTTCGATTTGATTTTTTTCTTTTTTCTTGTTTGGGTGATAATGGGATGTAATAGACATCATTGATCATTCCCCTTCCAATGCCATACTCCTACCATAAATAGCAAACATAGTGGCCTTATAACACAAACCACAAACACTCTCCATTCCATCATCAAAATGGCTTCCTTCCTAACTTCCACTCTCTATTCCCTCTCCCTAACCCTAATTTTAGCCGCCTCAGCCACCGCTAACCTCCCTTTCTCCACCCACTTCGTCGAAACAAAACCAACAACCACCAGAAAAATGACCCGCCTTCATTTCTATTTCCATGACATTGTGAGTGGCAAGAACCCAACTGCTCTCAAAATAATCGGGCCTAAAAGTTTGTTTGGAACAACTGTAATCATCGATGACCCTTTGACTATAGACACCAAGCCCGATTCGTTGGTGGTGGGAAGAGCTCAAGGACTCTATGCTATGGCTTCTCAACATGACTCGGGTTTACTTATGACTATTAATTTTGTTTTTACTTATGGAAAGTACAATGGAAGTGCGCTTAGTGTTATGGGTCGAAACCGTGTGTTTGATGTGGTGAGGGAAATGCCTGTTGTTGGAGGAAGTGGGGTCTTTAGATTTGCTCGTGGCTATGCACTTGCGAGCACTGTGAGGTATAATTTGAAAACCGGAAACGCGGTGGTTCAGTATAATGTCACTGTCATGCATGATTGAAAAAGTTAAATTCTTTTGTCCTCACATGTTGTCCTGATAGAGGGTAAGAATGTGAGAATTCATAAATGAGGTCTCGGTTTCCAAACATGAATATCACATCCATATAACCATAACCACAACACTATGTTTTTGTGCCCTTCATGTTAGCTGTGGGTCCCGTCAGTGTAAGCACCTCTACCCGTTGTGCCATACTTTTCTTTTACGGTTTAACTCTTTTATCTTGTATTGTGATATCTAAGTTAAAGCTCACCCGTTAATGCATTTGTATTTTTTTTGAAATATGTCCGCGAATTGTTGCTAATGCCACATTTTCTAGTAGTCTAATGTGGATTTTTGCTTATTTTTCTTTTTCTGGTTTGCCATGGGTTCAAAATATTCATTCTATAAACAAGAGGAAAAAGAATGTGTATGACTTAAACCCTAGAAAAGCTAAGTAACCTTGGCGCACTAGGCTCATGTTGGATCCAAAGATTATAGTAATTCTTTACAACAAAATGTTATTCTAAAGCTACAAACTTTAGACAAAAGAACAGATCTTGAAGTATTTTATTAGTCAAACAGATGATCATACATTTATGAAGCTCAGAAAAGAGGGCATCGTTGTTTTTTATACACAGAAGTAAGCAAACAAAAACAAAGAAACCAAAGAACAATTCACCATGATTACAAACTACACACTAACTGTACCTCCCAAACTTCCAAGCTGAAATCGTAAACAACGGTTGATTATGCCAACAAATAACCAAAAACCCATTTTCATTTTTAATCTTATAACCATCGTACCCATAATTCTGCAACAATCTTGTAGCCACCAACATCCCATTATAACTCAATGGAACACGTCCAAATCCCGCCAATTCAAACCTCGGAATCCATTTCTCAAGCTTCTCATGTCTCACCTTTCTTTCAAGCCCCTCGCAAGCTATAATGTTCTTGATTTCTTCCCCAAATAACATCTTTTCAACCTTTTGACGATCGACTGATGTTCTTGGAACAGTAGATTCTAAGCAATCGAATAGAGCTGCATAAAAGATCAAAGCTTCAAGTGCTCGATCCATCAAAGTAAACCCGTTGTGATTCGATTCTTGTTCAGTTACCACCATTAGTTTTGGTGAAAGATTCCAAAGGGAGTTCAAAAAGCTCATGATTTTCCCGGAATTTAGCAACAATGGTGATGACGAGGTCGAATCGGGACTCGGGCTAAATGGGTTTACAATATCTTTTTTCAGAAAATCACCTAAAGTTTGTGAATTTATGAGAATTCGATTTGATGATGGGCTTTGAGTTCTTTTAATCGTTTCATCATCGAACGCTAATAGAGTGTGGAGTTGAAGAACCGAACTTATTGCTAAAGCTTCACCGGATTTATAACGTAATTGTTCCATTTCAAGATTCTCCAATCGGGTTACGATTGGATTAAACTGAAACGGGATGTCTAATTTCTCAGCTTCTTCGTTTAATCGAAGAGCCATTTGTTCTAATACTTCTTTTTCTTGATGAATACCAGTGATTCTCAAATGTGGTGGACCTTCGGAACGTGTTCTTAACGCTTGAAGAAGATTAATCCATTGCGCAGGCTCTGAAGAACAAAGATCGATAATGTGAACCATCTTTTCGCCTTCCATGGCTTCGAGAATTGCTTGGTTAGTAATCAGATACGATAGTCTCAAAAACGGGCAGAGATCAAAAAACAATCTTTTTGTAAGAATCTCTTCGGAAATTGACGTGATTTTCGTGGAATTTATAGCTTTGTATAAACCAGGCCACCCTTTGAGCATTCGATTAGCGAGAGCTTCAGTGAAATAAGCTGCGATTCTTTGCATTGTGTCACCATCGGAAGATGAAAGACGATTAATCTGCTCGAGTTCGATGTTGGCATTCTCGATGCTGCCGGCGGCGACGTTGTTAGCACAGGCGACGAGGAGACGGATGAGGTATAATCCACGTTCTTCGGATTCCATTTCTCGTAGCCATGGATATGGTGATCCAATACCAGGTGAGAGTGACATTAGAGAGAATAAGTGAAGTGGGGATGAACTTATAGACGAAGATCCGTCTTCTTGACCCATTCCTGACATTAATCCGTTAAAAATTCGAAATGGGTCTGCAAAATGAACACATGAAATGGCGAAATTAAACGGCAAGAAACAGTCAATCAAGTACTTAATTGTGTTAGTAGACATAAAGTGAAGAGAATCAAAGAAACTCCATTGAAAAATAGAACAAGGATGAACTCACCACTGAATATATCTGAAGTAATAATAGGAAATCCGATGAAACATATGAAAAAAAACTCAAATTCAGAAAAGGGCTTTGAAATGGACTAAAACCCCATGGAGACCCACATAACAAAATCCAAACTTTATCATCTATTTTTTTGATTACCTTCGAAATTATCAAGGGTTTTGGTGTGTTTCTAGGAAAGTGATTAAAAGTCCAAAGTGGGTATAGAAGGAGTTAAAAAGCTCTTTGTTTTGGGGAGGACATATCCAAGGGGTAATGGCTTGTGTGTGACAAATGAAAAGGGTTGTTTTTGTCGTCATTGCATTGGTTCTTCCTATAGGGGACATCACATGAATATGAAATAGGAAGGGTTTTTTGTAGGTTTGTATATGCAACTTGTAATTGATTAAGTGGTAATACGTTAAAATAGCAATATGTTTTTCACATATTATGTTTTTTAAAGGTTAATTTGTATGTAATTTTAATCAGTCGGTCGTGTTAGTATTCCTTTACCATCGTTTAAGTCGCAGGTTTCTTGCGGATATACGGTGTTTGATGCTCAGGGCTGTTTGTTTTTTCCGAAAAAACATTCATGAACACTTATTGCTGTGTCATGCACCACACGTGCATTGTTTGACATTTCACAACTGTTTATTTTTTAGAAGTCTTTTTAACTTAAAAACAGATACGCGCATCGTTTGACCTTTCGCAACCGTTTGTATTACATTGTTTATAACCAAATATTAATAAATTGTAAAGTTAATCACTAAAATTACCAAATTAATTAAAACTAACCGTAAAAATAACTACCGTCTTCGAAAAATTAACAAAATTGAACATGTTTTTCGCTAAATTAACAATTTTATTTGTTGTTATTTAGCAAATAATATGTTTAATTATTTTATATAAACGTCTTTAAAAATTATATAATCAAAATGATCTTTATATTTGATTTGCATATAAATAAACTAAATAAAATTTTGATTTAGAATTATTTTTACTATTGTACAATTAATTCCAGTTCATTACAACTGCCTGCAGACGTAAAAAAAAACAAATATATTTTTTATCACAGGCTCCAGCCGTCTGGTCAACCTCTTCTACTATAGACAGTTGCAGATGTGGTCCACGGACTTTAAGTGTTTTCGCTTCGAAAAAACAAACAACACCTTAATTACAACATTTTGGTATAAAAATAGTTATGGTATGGTATATACATGATGTTTCTTTGTTAATTTACTAAAGATTACATTATTTTATTTATTGTTTTATTGCTTTGAACGACACACATAAAATATAAGATGCGAAAACAAATAAGGTACAAATCACAATTACATGATTCATCCTTTGTTACCATTATTTACAACATGAGATGAAAAAAAATACTTAAGTTCAGATAGTCTTTTGTCATTCGGATTTTGTACACGATGACTTTGACGAAACTTTATACTCACCTGATGTTCTAAATGACCTTAAACCTTCAGGTTTTCCAATTCATAAATTGGTATTAAAAGTTGGTGTTCCAGTTATCTTATTGAAGAATATTGATTAAAAAATGTGGTTTGTGTAATGGAACTAGGCTACAAGTTATAGCATTGGGTAAATGCCACACCCCCAGCCGAGGCGGCGGAACATGTCGGGTTGTACGACTTAGTTCATTGATCACCAACAAATTGAATATACACCACAAGTACAACAATAACAAGGCAACAATTATATTCCACTTTAAGGCCCGAAATCCATGAGTATCTCTTCTGCTAAAAGTTCGTTCAGTGATCTCCTAAGAATACATGTAATTTGAGGGTCAACCAAAGGTTGGTGAGAGTTACAGGTTTTCTGCTAACCGTAGTAATAATATTTTTAAAAAGTATGAAAAGTATTTCTTTTATAATTAAAACCATGTTTGAAAAATGTTAGATAAAAAGAGAAATTGAATTTGTGGTTTCTATAAAGAATCCAGTTAAGTCCATAGTGATTCCTATAACCGAGCTGTGTAACTAGATATAACCCCTTACGACGCTTCATTAGACGTTGTGGATAAAGACTAAAGATAATTATCACCCACTTTGATTGATCCGTCGAGGTTGTAACTAGCAACCGAAGGTGGGGGTGTCAACCGGTATAGATCTATACATACGTATCTCGTTCCGAGGATTAACGGTTATAGTCGAGAGGGTATACTAAGTGGTTAAACTTAGGTAATGTATAGTGTATCACTATAAGTTCAATTTATTCGTAAAAATGTATATTACTCGCTTAAATAGGTAGTATGTTGCTCAAGTGCATGTATAAAATTTCAAGATATATGTGTTATAACTTATACATATATATTCTACATATGTATTGTCACACGCCCGACCGAGAAGGCGGAACATGTCGGGTTGTGCGAATAAGTTCATGGATCACAGGTAAACTGAATATATAGCACAAGTACAACAATAAACAAAATAACATTTGTATTCCATCTTTAAGTTTGAATACATGGTTATTACATATCATAATAATACATGAATTGCCTTAATAGGTATGCAGACATAACTAAAGGTAGTAAACTAAATTGCCTTAAATCCATGATTATCCGTCGTCTGAAATGCTTAAATTACTAACTCCCTGAGAATACATGTGGTTTTGATGGTCAACACAAGGTTGATGAGAATAATGAAGTTTCATCGAGTATAGGCCTAGTAATTAAACGCTTAAAAATGAAAGGACTTGTAACTTTCAAAAATTTATCATGTGGAACAAGCCCATCAGTATTCTATTAGTGTAAAAAAAAT